GCCTGTCTAATCCAGATCCTTATGCAACCTGACAGCTGGAGCAGTTTTGCAAAGAGAAATAGGAAAACATTGCAGTTTTCAGATGTGGAAAGATGATAGATTTGTCCACACAGACTTACAGATATGATTAATACTGAAGTTGCAGTTTTTTGTTATTTTGTGTTTTTTTTTATAGTATCAGCTACACTTTGTGGTAACCAGTAAACATATTAACCCCTTCGTGACTGACGACGTACAGTGTACGTCGCCAGCATCGGGGCTGTTTAAACAGATAGCCGCCGGGACTCTGTTTAAACTTGTAAAACCTGTAAAGGCTTTACAACAGAAGCGATTCTGGCGACTTACCTGTCGCCAGATCGCTTCTGTGTCCCGTAGAAGGGTGCGCCCCCCCCGCCGGACACCGCCGCTGTGCTTCCCGGGCTCCGTTGCCCCTCCTACGGGACCGGCTTCCTTGGTGTGCGCGGGGAGCTGGGGAGGAGGTCTACGAACTTCCGTTCCTCAATCCCCTCCCCGTTCTATGGGACCGGGAGCCATGCAGATTGCATCACTTCCGGTCCCTGGGCTGTCAGTTCTGGGCTCCTGCAGCCCAGCTATAAGATATTGAAGTGCGATCTGCACTTCAATAGCTTATTTCTAGTGTAAAGGTGACACTGGGGGTCTTTTGGACCCAACTTCAAAGCAGAGCTCTTGCCCATTTACAGTGCTAGCCAGTAAATTTAAAATGACTTCTAGGGAAATCAGCTCCTTCATAGCTCCAGAGCTACAGCTCTTACAAGATCTATTAATGCCTTTATCAGTCCAGAATTGTACATGCCTCATTCCAGCATATCAATAAATGCCAAAAATGAGGAGCTAATGTGCAGTATGATCCTATCTATCAGCACTAGTGATGAGCCGAACACCCCCGTGTTCGGTTCTAACTCGAACTTTCGAACATGGAAAAAGTTCTAACATTTTGAAGCCTTATATGCAATTTATTGGCCATAAAAAGTGTATGGGGATC